GTAAGTGAAGCAATTTTTGTACTACAAAATTTGTAGATTTCTGGTTATTCGTATTATTTAAAGTCGACGACGTCTTCTAAAATATTTTTAATAATAGAAACCTGAGATCACCTGTGATCAACGCGTATAGTAATCATCTTTGCGAAGAAAAGAAAAAAAAAAGGAGAAAAAGACAATGGATGAATCACTGGAGAAATTAAAAACGCGACTTATTCGATGTGAGAATCTTCGATATTTTCAACTGAGATAAATCGGAGGGAAAGTTTATTGCTATTTATAGCGTTTATCTATCGTTTGATTAATAAAAGGCGGTGCAAAGTGTACCTTTGGTCTCGGTGTTTTCTTTTATTTTTTTGATTTTCTTCGATGATAATGACATCATGCTTGATATCAAAAGCATGCGCCTGTGTTTGTGTCCGCGTGTTACGATCGTAACAAAGAATGTCGATAAGCTAATGTTAGCTCAAATGGCGAAGCAAATTGAAGAAAATTCGATTGAACACAATCTTCGATTAGTATCAAGATTTTGTTGCACGATTTATTGGAATATATTGTTCCCATTATTAATTCCTAGTTCTATTAATTCCTAGTTTATACGAATATTGATAATATATATATTAGGTAGAAGATGACATAAAATTCATAATACCAGATCATTTTTATGTAAGGAAAAATTAATTTCTCACGCACTGAAATTCCAATTAAAAAACAGTCTTCAATTAGTATCAAGATTTTGTTGCACGATTTATTGGAATATGTTGTTCCCATTATTAATTCCTAGTTTATACGAATATTGATAATACATATTTAGGTAGAAGATCGATGACATAAGATTCGTAATATGAGATCACTTTTATGTAAGGAAAAATTAATTTTTCACGCACTGAAATTCCAATTAAAAATCCATAACATACATATCGTTACATACGGCGCGCTCAAATTAGTATTCATTCAAATTCCAAGGATTAATATTTATGAAATTCATAAATTCCATTTTCCATGAAAAATAAACTTGCTCAGTATTCTGCGCGTGTACATACTAATTATACCGCTTCAATCTATCATACATTTATAATTCAGCTAGTTAATAACTCGAGCAACAACGAGGCGCTCGTTTGAAGGATTAATGTGTATTTCATTCGTGTAGGAAATCTATAAATTCCACTTTTCATAAAAAAAAAAAAAAAAAAAAAAAAA